GGCATTGCAGAATCTGGTAAGAGCATCAAAAGATACTGGCTGCCCCAGGAAGGACGGAGGGCCACCGTGCCCCTCCGGCCCATGTTCCTGAGCCACCGCTGTGCAGGGGCATCCTGCCCTGGGCCTGGAGGTGGCAGAGGGACCAGGGCAGCCTTCTCCTCTTCCATGTGTGGAGTCCCCTTTCAAGCTGTCCAAATGGGTGGCCGTGGCCACATTCTGTGGGAGTTGATTCCATCATGTAACTCTGTGCTGAGTCCGGCTTTGTCTGTCCTCAACCTCCCACCCCTCAGCTTGAGAGGATGACCCCCCCCCCAATGCTATGAGGCCTAGTATGGTGGAAACGGAAGCCCCCTAGTGACTTTCTCCACACGAGGCCTCGGTCATGTCTCCCATGCGGGTCTCCTTACTCAGGTAATCCCAGGGAGCTGCTCCAGTCCTCGGATCACTTTGGTGCTCCTTTTCCACACTTTCTGCGCATATTTTCGTCCTTTTCTGTCTGTGCAATTGGTGCTAAGCCAGTGCAGGCGGAACACAGACGGGAGGGCCAGCCACTCCCTTGCACCAGTTTCAGGCCGGAGCACTCCGAGGACATCCTTCCAATGCCGCCACCCCTCCCCGAGGATGGCACGGCTTTCCCGAGCCCAGCCAGAAGGGTGGTGCCCTGGGGATAGCCAAGCTTGTTTTCTGTTTCCCAGGACAGGAGTGTCGGACTTCTCCCAGTCGAGGGCCAAGTTCCCGTTTAGGGATGCTCTTGGGTGCTGTGATCCTGCGTGTGGTGCCTGAGGCTGAAGGAGCGGGGACAAACCATCAGAAGCACCAGCCTGTCTTGGCTGAAGGCGCTCGATGCCCGCAAGTCAGCGCTTGGGAAGGGCGCGCCAAGCCTTTAGAGGGGGCGGGATGCCAGGGCTTGCCAGCCAGGGGAAGGGTGTGGGGCCAGGGGGAGGAGAAAGGCCAAGCCTGGGAAGGCCTCGGCTGTGACAGGCAGCGCATGAATGAGTGGATGAATGAATGAGTGGATGAATGAATGAGTGGATGAATGAATGAATGAATGAATGAATGAATGAATGAGGGGGTCTTCTCAGTGGCCTCAGGCTGATCCTGAGTGTAGATTCCCTTTCCCATGTTTTGAGCAAAACCACGAGAACCTTGTTGAGAATTGCAAAGTAATAATGATTTAACAAAAACATTTACCCCTTGCCTTGTCCTACATCATTCATCACGAGTTCTGTGTTTAATTTAGGATCCCCACCCTGGAAGCACTTTTGCAGCATCTGAAGGTCTGTTACCGCCACAAAATAGCCACTTTTCGGCTCGTTGTCTTGCTCATTGTTGCGCCTTTCCAAACACGGGGGACGGCACGGCTGCGGGTGCTGCTCCGTGGCCCTGCCTTCGTGGATGGATGGAAGGGGGAACCGTGTTCCTCAGAACAACTCCTGCTTGCTCTTTGCTTGGGTCCATTGGTTTTGTGGGCTTCATTCCTCAGCCAGGCAAGGCCCCCCTCCCAAAGCCTCAGAACACGGCTATTCGCCTCGTTCCACCTCCCAGTATCGCGCAGTAACTGTCCTGCCCGGGGGTCTTGGTCTCAGCTGCTTTTGCATGTTATCAAAGCAGAAGATGGGCTAAGAATGGGCACCGGGAACCCTTTGTGGGAGCTGAGAGAGAAAACTGAAAACGGCTGCGCAGAACACTGGCACGATTGCACAAGCCCCCCACCGGGAAGGCCCCTCCTGCCTTTCTGGACCCCGTTATGGGGGCGCTTGTGGGCGTGCCTCAAGAGGGGGCAAAGCAGGGGGCATTGCCTTCCCTCCACCAATCCCACTCCTGGGGGCGGATCCGCCCACCCTCCAGGGGCATGCCTGGGTATAAAAGGGCGGTCTCCAGGCAAGCGGAGACCAGCGGGATGGAAGGCAGGAGGTGAGCAGTGCTTCTGTGCGATCTTTCTTTCTGAGAATTCTTTGAAAGTTGAGCCAGCTGCTTCCCCTGCTTTCGCTTGGGCACAGGCAGAGGCCTCTCTCTCGGGACTTTTTCTGTTCCAGCCTTCACTAGCCTGGCACCCCGAGATCTCCGGAGCAGGGCTCCCCAATTGCCACAGACAGGAGGAGCAATTCTAAACTGGGAAAAAATCTCTTTCAGCGTGATTTCTGCAGGAGAAAGCACGTGAGCTTCGGGGTTTCACAGAACAGTGCATTGCACAGGGTTCCAGCAATGGGAAAGCGTCACTTGGGAGGTGGGGGGGGGGGAGGGCAAGCTGCACTGCCTGGTTCTAGGGTGACCAGGCACATGGTGGGCATGTCATGAGCAGAGCCGGCTGGAGCCGGGGTCAGACTAGATGGCCCGGGAGACCCCTTCTGGCTCACTCTGTTGCACTGCTCTATCTGATGTGCCCTCTGTGGCTGGGTGTGCTCCCCCTGTGCAGCTTGGGAGGCTGCAACATCCCCTTCTTTGGGTAAGAGCAGATGGGGGAAGCAGGCACCTGCCTGGAAATGGGATCACCCTCGAAAGCGTCCCCTGTGCCCTGCAGTGCGGGCCAGCGCAGGTGGGGTCAGTGCACAGGTGCCCCAGCGCAGGCCTGTGGGCCCCCTTCCGGCCAGATGTGTCCACCGTTCACTCTAAAAGTCTGGCTGCTTGAGCAGGGCCCCCCTGAATGTCGCTGGCGGGTGCGCATTCCTTACCCCATTCCAGAGTAGGGAGGGGCAAGGAGAGAGGGGCCACGGGGTGCCCTCCCGGGCCTGGGGCTCCTGGGCAAGGGGGCGCAGGGAGCGCTGCTCCGACCTGTGGGCGATCTCGACCAGCTGGCGCGCCAGGCTGAAAGCAGCGGAACGAAATGCAGCGGGGACGGATGCCGAGCCCTGCCCCTGGGGAGAGTCAGGCAAACACTCCGCGTCGCTCAACAACGCTGCACAGCACCTTGGAATTGTTGGAGATCACAGGCTGAATATGAGTCAGCGTTGTGGTGCGGCCACAAAAAAGCAAATGCTATTTTGGGCGGCATCAATCGAAGTATCACTTCCACATCATGCAAAGCGCAAGTTCCCCTTTGCCCTTTAGTCAAGCCTCTGGGTCTGGTGCTGGTGACATACTCCAAGAAGGTTGCAGAGAAGCAGGAAAGGGTCAGAGGAGGGCAACCAAGAGGATCCGGGGACTGGAGACGAAGCCCTGCGAGGAGAGAGGGAAAGAACTGGGCAGGTTTCGCCTCGAGATGGGAAGACCGACGGGAGACGTGAGCTCAGCCCACCATGCTTGGAAGGCTGCCACAAAGAGACAGGCCAGGATGGCGTCTCGATCGGCCCAGAGTGCAGGACATGGAAGAACCGGCTCAAATTACAGGTGGCTGGATTTCAGTGGGAGATCAGGAAAAACTTTCCTGCCTGTTCAAGCAGCGTAACAACGGGACCAGCTACCTGGGCAGGTGGTGGGCTCTCCCACCAAGGCGGCATTGAAGGAGCAGCTGGACTGCCTCAGCCGCAGCGGCCTGGGGTGCCTGGATGTAAGACCTGCCCTGAGCAAGGTCTGGCCTGCAGCCCCTCGGATGATGTTACGGTCCCAGAGGCATATTTTTGACCCAGCCATCCCCCAACAGACCATTTATTATTTATTTATTTATTTTTCGATTTATATCCTGCCTTTTTCCTACAAAGGGCTCAAGGCAGCTTACATCATTCTCCTCCTCCATCTTATCCCCACAACAACAACCCTGTGAGGTAGGTTGGGCTGAGAGTCTGTGACTGGCCCAAAGCCACCCAGTGGGCTCCATGGCTGAGCAGAGACTCGAACCTAGACTGTCTGAGTCCCAGTCCCACGCTCTTCACCACTATGCCACACTGCCTCTCCAGCGTGAACCACTCCAGTGCGGAACCACACAGTTCAGCTGCTCAAGTCTGTTCACATGCGCAGGCTGCCTTCTGTAAGCCACTTTCCGATCTGTGGCCAGAAGGTCCTGAGCTGAGGGAAGTCTGAGGCTTCTTTAGCGAGTCTCTTGCAGTGGCTTTTCCCCGGCACTGATAGGAAGTTTCAGGAGAGGCTTTTTCCGTCCATCCAGCAGGCGCGACCACAGGCGTGGAGACGTCTTCTCCCCGAGGCAAGGGAAGCCAGGCCTGCAGGGGACTAGCTTAGAGGATCCAGCTCGCTGCCTCCTCCAACGCAGCTCCGCATGACATTTGCGCACGCACGTTAAGACCGCTAAATGCCGGTTCAGAAGTCATTGCAAGGACGCGTGTAGCGCCGACCCGTTGCAGCCGCTTTCCCGAGCTTTCTGGGAGCTGGCCGTGGTGCTGAACTCCACTCCGGGCCCCTCGGAGCACCATGGAGAGTTCCTGGAAGGCGGGAGAGCCCCACGGACAAAGGGGTCGCCACCCGCTCTTTCCCGGGCGCCTTCCCTCCGTGGGGCTACCCTCGGCTCTCCAGCCCTCTGGAAAAGCTACCCAGAGGATCAGGGGGCCCTGGGGGAGGAGGCGAGCGCCCTCAAATGGGGGTTCCCCCAAATCAGTCCGGGCACCGTCAGTGTCCGGACCCTTCTGCCTGCTAGGGGGGCCGGCATCCCCTGCCCTCCTTGCCACTGTTCTGAGCCAGAGTGAGAGGCGGGGGGAGTCCCTAGGGGCAGGGCAGCGGTGGGTCCACCCCATGGCGAGCAGCATGTGACCCTCCGGTGGGCTTCTCGCCCATCCCCTGCCCACACCTGCTCTGGAGCACCAACCTCTCAGCAAGCCCGTCTGGCCTGGCCGGTCATGCAGCCGGGGCTGCTGGGCCTCGCAGCCTTTCCTTGCTGGGGGAGCAGCAGTGAAGAGCCCTCCGGCTTTGGGGCCGCGGTGGTGACCCTGAGGCGGTGCAGAGGCCGTTCCCCTGGCGCTGCAGCAGGGGCAAAGAGCTGCTGGCCTAGGGGGACGCGCGTCGTGTGTGAACAAGAGGCTTGCACCCGTCCCTGAAGGGCCCCGCTCGCCCAAGCACTGCTGGTGCCCTGGACGAAACACGTCACCCGGTTCCAACTGTGCTCTCTCCAAAGGATGGCGTTCCTCATCCTGGTGGGATTCCTGGCTGCCTTGGTGCCTCTGCAGGCCGGGGAGTGTTCGCTCCATGGTGAGACCGTCTTCCTTGTTTTGCAACTGATACTGAGTTCTGCAAAAGACGGGGCGAGGGGTGGAGCGGGCGTGCCACTGGGTGAAGATTTGCTCGCAGACTCCGGCGCTGTGAAGCCAAGTCTCAGGAGCGTGTGCGACAGCAGGCGGATTTCAGTTGCTTTCTTTTGCAACCCCCCAACTGCCAAATGCCCGCAGAGCCAGCCTTCGGCTTGGCATGTGATGCTTGCGCCCATCCCAGAGTCGGCGAAGTATTGCCAGCGGCTCTGCTGACGATGCAGCTCAGCTGCAATACCAGGTGCCTTCTTGGTAACAACGAAAACCTGTCTGTTCTCGGCTCTGTACCCTGCATTTGCTTTCTCGCTCCCTGCTCGGCAGCATGCCTTCTGAAAAGATATTATCAGAGATACTTTTAAAATGTGCTGTGATATATAAGACTACCAAACTAATTAAGTGAATGCCACAGTCTTCCATTTCAGCCTCCTGTGACCCACTGCCCTTCAGAAGTTTGGACTACACATCTCATCAGCCTGAACTGCTAGCAATACTGCTTGAGACTGATGGGAGTTGTAGTCTAAAACATCTGGAGGACACTGGGCTGGGGAAGTCTGGTCTGCTGCCCTCCTTCTCTCAGCAAACCATGCTCAATATTCTCCCGGGAAGCAGCTGCTTAATCAGCCCTGGAGCCTGTGCCTTTAAGGGCAGCGTTGGGCACAGGCATGCGTGCGTGACGATGCCCCCGCTTTGGGCTGCGAAAAAGGCCACCTGCCGATTTTAACTGACGGAGCTGCGGCTAAGGCACAGGAGCTGCATTTTTCTGGTCAGGTGGCAACCCTTGCCTTGTGAGTTATACTGCTTTAAAGCCGGTATAAGATCGTCAGGCAGCGTTCGAAGAATGGGTGCCTGATTCGGAGGGCTGTCCTTGCCCTTGGCTTCCTTTTTTACCTTTGCTGAGCCCTATGCCATCATTTCAGACTGCAACTGCTTTGAATGAAAGGAGAGAAAGAGAGCGTGGGGATGCTGCTAATAATAACAGTAGGCAGAGGAATGGCGCTTGCCTGGCGAGGCTTGGGGGCCTTGACGCGAGGGCAAAGCCAGTTGCAGGAAAAGGTCTTGCCGTGTCGCACCTGCCGAGGGTCGGCGCAGTCTTCCTGCCCCCATTCCTCTCACTTTTCAGTGCTCTGCATTTTTGTGTAGTAGGCCCTTCGGTGTGGCCTTTGGCTCATAGAAGAACTGCCACGTCAGGCGGCAGCCGTGGCTTTTCCTATGCAAAGCGGGACTTGGCATTACAAAGCAGGATTCTCGCCCGACGCTGGGCTTCGAGCAGCACCTTCAGCCATGGTGCCGCAGGAGCCCGGAGCTGCTGGCCGCACTGCTAGCACCCGGGCAGGGGGCCACGAGCGAGGCGGCTGGGGCGGGAGGCCACGCCGGGCTCGCAGAGCGCCCGGCTGCCACGCTGAGTGAGCTCGGCGTGGGTCCCGACCCGGCCTGGACCAGCCAGCCTGGAATTCGGGCACGGGTGTGTAAGACTGACGGAAGGGCCTCTGCGGTCGCCCAGGCTGGCCGGCCAGAGGGCTGCTGGGGGTGCAGTTCGGCCCATGGGGGGGGGGGCACCTCGTGCCTTGGCTGCACCGTCTGTGCATGTGCTGTGGATCTCTCCCCCAGGGAAGCCCAAGCAGGACGGCCGCCCATCTGCTGCAGCCGTTGCCGGCAAGCTGGGAACCTCGGCCCTTCTGAGGAGCGTGGAGGAAGCCAAGCAGCTGGTCGATGCTGCCTACCAACGCACCCAGGACAGGTGAGGGCCGCGCCGCCATGCGTGCGTGCGGGGAGACTGCAGGGGACAAAGCCACACCGGTGAGCCAGGTGGCCACAGCTGCCGCCCCTCTGTGGGGCCCTGTCCCTGTGCATTTAGCAGCAGCCGGGCCCCTTCCTCTCCATCTCATCCTCGCGAGAACCTGTGAGGAGGACAGATGGAGAGGCGGCGGCTGGCCCCAGGGCTGCCTGGACCCTGCAACCCAGATCCCAGCCCGGTACTCCGATCACTGCCCCACGCTGCTTCCCAGTTCCACCGGCTGCCTCAGAGCTGGGCGTGCAGCAGCCCTCGCACTGGTGAGGCCTCAGACGGCGTGAGCTGCTGCCGAAGTCCAAGAGGGGACAAGCCCAGGTGCTGGGTCAGTGGGCGACCCCACGGTGGCTACGCTTCTGCCCATTGGGCACCCGCAAGATCAGCTTCGTGCCCGTTCCCCCCTTTCATGGCAACTTCCCAGGCAGAAAGTCATACAATGTAGCATTTCCTCTTACTGAATGAGGCTGTACCTTATGGACTTCTGCCTACCATGACACCAGAGGCATTGCTTGGTACTTAGAAGACCTGGCACAGGCCTGTGGAGCAACAAATCTGCAAAAAATATCAGTTGTTGATTAATTTCTAGATGCAAACCGAGGGTGAAGTCCTCGGATTTCCACAGAGCATCTGCAGGAGACCGAAGCTCGCTGCTCCTCAACCCGCCTCCCTTAAAGACAGAGTCTTACGGTGTCAACAACACTTTTCTGAAGGAGGAAAGCAATGCTTCCAGGCTGGATGGCTCAGTGCAAGTCAGAGAGCTGATGTCGGCTAGTTCACCGGGTTGCCGTGGACTGGGACCACGAAAATCTGGCCCGTATCCCAACCCAGGCATGCAGGGACTCTCCCTCCAGGGAGGTCATTAGAGAATGGCTGAATGACTGCCTGCCAGGGATGCTGCAGCCACACCTGGTGCTGAGGAGGGGGCTGGACTAGATGACCTCTGGGACCCCTTCCCACTGCATGAATCAGCTTCACCAGGTAGCTTTGGGTTCAGGGTTAGGATTAGGGTTAAGGAAAGCAGAATTCACTGTTTTTTTCATACACTCCTTTTGTGCACACTTTTTCCTAATATATGCCTAAAGACATCTTCACAGACATCTTTCCGTAATGCACACATCTAGGATGTGGTTTCCCTAAAAATGCATGTTAGGATTTGCATGCAAATGTTTGTGCTAAAATCTGCATTGGGAACAATTCAGGAATGCACACGATCCAGGAGAGGACTATTTTCCGTTCTGATGTTTAGTCTGGAAGGCACAAGTCCGGTCACTTCTCCAAAAATGCAGACCATTGTAGCTATTTCTGGACAAAAAATTAATAACATTTCTGGTGTGCTTTTAGAAGCCGATTCTCTGGCACAGCTATTTTGTCCAACTGGATTTTTAAAACTCTTCCAGCTTAGCAGAGAAACTGAAGTCACACAAGGCCACCGCAGCCCACGTCCTGCTTTCGTTCAAGCAGCCGCTGGGAGCCACCCGGCAGGCGGTCAGGGCTGCGGAGTACCTGCACGTCACCTTCGCCCTCTTGAAGGAGAAGTTGCAGCATGTCTTCCCACACAGTGTCAACATCACGGGTAAGCACCGCGGCCTGCGGAGACCTGCCCTGCACCCTCGGAAGGGGCCGGCAGGGCCCCTTCCCCTTTCCCAGCCCGCGTGGAGACAGGGGCTGGACCACAGAGGAACTGTCCTCAGAGCAAAGCCCGGGCTTGCATGCGGTGTCAGCCAACGGGGGGAGCGAAGGCAGGAGAAGTGGAGCGACGTTGTTCATGGTGTGTCAGAGCAGTGGCTCCCATCATCCTCAGCCAGAGGGCCTGGGGATGATGACAGTGGTAGTTCAGCACATCTGCGGGGCTCTGGCTCGGTGTGCAGAAGTCCCAGGCTCTTGGGGACAACCACGCTGGGGCTTGGCCTTGTGCAGGGATGTGGATCGGATGCCACCCCCACCCCACCCCCTGGAAGGCGGGCTCTCTCTGGGCTTAGCAAGAGGAAACTCTCCTCTTGCTGGAAACCCTGCCGCCCAATTTTGGAGGCTCCTTCTCCCCCCACCCCACACGCCACAGCTCAGCATGACCCACGCTGTCATCGGGGGCTGCAGAAGCTGCCGTGGGAAGGAACAGCAGGGGAGACCCCGCTCTGATCTGGAGCTCCCCAGCTATTTGCTCTCTGTTGTGCAGTCAAGGATATGGGCAAGACCGGCGCACTCCTGTGGAGCTCCCGTGCCCATATCCGCACAGCTGCCTGCATGGGGCCTCTCCTTGGGGCAGAGCTGAGGGTGGGCACCATCCCCACCTGCAGCTCAAAACCGGCCACAGTCCCCCTGGGCACCAGGTGGCCCGTAGGGTGCCATCTGGGAAGCGCTGAGAAACATGGGAGCGTCCCCAATTCTTCCTGGCCCTTTGGACACCAAGGTATCTATTTGCTTACATTTTATGTCGAGAGCCAGCCTTTTTCCTGCAAGCTACACATGCCCAGGGCCGCCCCAGCCCCGAACCCTAATGAAACCCAGGAAGCGAAAGCTGCCGTCGGCCACCATTCCCAGCTTCCTGCTTGGGCTCACCGGTCCCCCCGGCTCCCGGAAAGCCGCACCTGTGGGTGAGCCCTCGGGACTCTTTTCCCTGCAGAACTGCTGAGCCCGACCCAGATGCAAACCATCTACAAGGCCACCGGCTGCGCCAAGCAGGAGCTGAGGACGATGGACTGTGACGACAGCAGCCCGTACCGGACCATCACGGGCGAATGCAACAACAGGTATCGCGGCTGCACAGCCTTCTCAGCCTGGTGCCCGCTGCACATTTCCGCTGCAGTTCCCATCAGCCCCAGCTGGCGTGGACCCTGGGTGGTGTCCTTGAAAACATCTGGTGGGCATCAACACTCTCCAGTCCAGATGTGTGGGGCCTGCCGTCTCTGACCCTGTGCCAAACTGAGCGGGGCTGATGGACCAAGGAGCTCACAGAATCATAGAATGGTAGAGTTGGGAGGGGCCATGAAGGCCACGGAGTCCAGCCCCCTGCTGTTGCAGGACACCAAGCCACCCCACCCCACTCTGTCCAGTTTCCCCTTGAACGTCTCCAGTGTGGGGGAGCCCCCCACCTCTCCAGGCAGCTGGTCCCACTGCCGTCTTGCACTGACACTGAGGAAGCTTCTCCTGAGGTCCAGCCTGAGCTCAAAAAGAGCAGCAGCCTAGAGGCTGGGGAAGGCTTCTTTGTAAGGCTGGCGACGGAGCCCTACACGGCTGCCCAGAGCCTTCCAGGCGTGGCTGCGGGCATCCCCATGTGCCAGGAGGAGCGTGAGGGGAAGGCCCCCCCTCCCCCAGCATCTGGTCATGGCCGTCAGAGGGGAGGAAGAGGCTCCTCCAGGATGCGGCGCGCTCCCCGTGATGCCCGTCTCCAAACTTGCCTGGGCGCATGAGGCATCCATTCCTCTCCCCAAACGGCGACCCCAAGGCAACCCCTCTTGCCATGGATTTTATAAAGCTATTCTCTCCCCCAGTGCCAGAAGCTCTCAGTGCCCACGAGCACGAACCCCTTTCCTGGGAGAACGGCAGGGAGGGGAAAGCAGCTTCATGGGCAGACAGTTTTGGTTCTCCCAGCAAAAGCAGCCCTTCTCTGAGGAATATCCTTGGGGAAAGCAACTGCAAGGCAATCCTTCCGGGTGGGTCTCCTAACAAGCTGTAAAGGCTGCAAGAGGTCATGTTGGCTTTCGAACTGCGCTACGCAGATCTGTTGGACCTCAAAAACCCCTTTGTGCTTCTCTGGTAGGGCCCGTCCAATACAGGACTCGTGAGCGAGTGGCTTCCATTTGCCACCCAGTCAAGTGTGGGAAGCGCTCTTCTCCACATAGTGTCGTTGCAGATTATTGCTCTCAATGAGGACCATGACAAACTGACTCGCTTTTAAGGAGCCGCCAGCAATACTTTGCCGGGAATGCCACAAAAGCAGGGCAGGACTCCTGGTCCTCCGGAGCATTTCTGCCAGCCAGAACAGCCTCCCCCAACATGGTGTCTTGCAGAGGCTTTGTTCCTGGCCAGCTGCCCCCTCCGGCTGGGCATGATGGCCGTTGTAGTCCTGAGCTGCTGGGACCGCAGTTGCAGGGCCGCTGTTGCAAACGCTGGCTCGCAGGAGGGGCATTGCTGCAGCTTGCTCACCTGCGCGAGCGGTGAGCCCAGCGGTCCCTGCCTTGGAGCGCAGCCCGGCCAAGAGCAAGCCTTGTGGGCAGGGCTTTGGCCGCGGGCCTGGCATCCCAGGAAAGGCCCCATTGAGAGGAAAAGCTCTGCTCTCTGTGGGCTGCTGCCCGGACTGGTATTCCCACCAGCTGGAGCACGGCATGACTGCGCTGGACAGACCTTCCAGCAGAAGGCACCCCATTTCTACGGTGAAGTGAAAAAGGGGGGGTCTTCTAAGTGAAGACCCCCCCTTTATTATTTATTTATTTATTTAAAGTTTTTATATGCCGTCCCCTGGCTACATAGCCTCGGGATGGCTCACAGAAATAAATAAATAGAACAATTACAATGATAATTATAATTAAAACCCAGAAACACACTGGCTGCTCGATTAAAATCTATAAATATTAAACATGATTAAAGTACTGTTTGAATAAAAAGGTCTTGGCCTGGTGCCGAAAAACAAATAACGATGGCGCCAGGCAGACCTCTCTGGGGAGCGCATTCCACAGACGGGGCGCCACCACAGAGAAGGCCCTCTTCTGGGTACTTTGCTTCCCGATATCTCTCACGGACGGCTCCTGGAGGAGAGCCTCTGAGCTTTTCAGAGCCAACATTTCACTTTTCTGTTCAAACATCTGGATGAGGGTGGAACTTTTCAAAGGGGAGCAGGCTGGCCCTTCCCCAGCCTGGTGCCCCCAGTGTGTTGGACTGCGAGCCCCACAATCCATGGGAAGGGCCCCAGCAAGAGCCTTCATCCTGGGAGATGCTTCGATGGCTCGGACTACAGCGCCCAGCAGTCCTGCCCCATGGCCACACAGGTCGTTGCCGTTGCCCAAAGTCTCGGGGTTGCAGCAGGCCGGGATCGCCCTGGTCATGAAACCGCCCCTGGCTGGAGGGAGGCCCCTCCGTGACTTCCTCATCCTCCTTGGCCCTCCTTCTCTAATGCCGCCGCCTGGCTGCTTTGACTTTCCGCAGGAGGATCCCCACCCTGGGGGCGAGCAACCGCCCGTACGCCCGCTGGCTCCCGCAAGAGTATGAAGATGGTGTTTCTCTCCCCCGCGGCTGGACAGAGACAAAACTGTATAACGGACATCCTCTGCCCTTGGTAAAACTGTTGCCCGCTTATTCTCATTTTGTCAGGATGGTGTTCTGACCCTTCAGGGCTGGAGAAGTGCTGGGGGCTTTGGGGGAAGAGCAGAGCTCTTGAAGCCAAGGGGGCAGAGTAGCGGGGCTTTGATGCGGGTGTGATTGCACGCCTGTGGACACCAGCCATGTGGGGGTGAAGGCAGGCAGGGTAGCTGAAACCTGAATACAGGTAAAGTTGAAGGCAGGTAGCACCTGAGCCCATCTTGGGCTTCCCACAGAGTAGTTGAAGAACCCACAACAACAATCCATGGCATGTTGTGAAGTCTCACTGACCCACAATGGGCTGGTGTGAGGTCTGCACCCAGGAGAGCAACGCTATATGGGCTTCGGAGTTTGGCTCCAAAGGCAGGCAGCCAGAGCCACAGCTCAGCTCTGCTCCTTTCCCTGCAGGGAAGCAGACGTCCAGAGTCCGCCACCGAGCAGCCCTCCAGATCTTTGCTCTTCCACCTAAAAATCCCCAGCCTTCTCCAGTCCAAAATGAGAGCCTAGAAGATCTTTCCAAGCTTCCCTACCACTCAGAAATCAAGGCCTTTTCCTCAGTTCTTTCCCTACAAGAGGAACCAATTTCTGGCAGGCTCGGGGATGGAGAGCAGAGAGAAGGCAAGCGGGCAAGGAACTCTGACGGCTTCCCAGCCCTGAACCAGAGTCTTCACACATCCTTAACCATGTCTTGGTGCAGATGCACAGACAGACGCCACTTGTCCGCATAGAAAAACAGTTAGAACGGCTCGCTGCAGAGGCCGGGCCATCCTGGGCGGGTCTGAATGAGCAGCTTTCCTTTGTGCCCCCACCGTCATGACTCAGAACTGATGACTCCCCCTTGCTAACCCTGCTGCAGGTCCGGAACGTCTCTAACAACATTGTCCGCATCCCTGGCCAAAGCATCACCGATGACCGGTTCCGGTCGATCTTGTTCATGCAGTGGGGCCAGTTTCTAGACCACGATTTGGACTTCGGCCCTTCCACGACGGCCACCCTCACCTTCCAGCAAGGGGCGGACTGCTTCCGGAGCTGCGTCAAAGAGCCGCCGTGCTTCCCCATCAAGGTGCGTGGACCGCCCGGGCCTCTTCCATGGCTGCGTGGGGCAGGGGGAGCTTGCCCGTGTCCAGGGCCGGTGCCGCAGGTCAGCGCCGCTGGGCTCCCCGCGGACCACTGGCGCACCTGCCCTGCTTCTCCTCACGCGAGAATCCGCATCGTTACCTGGGGCCTAGGCATCCCCCTCCTCAGCCACAAAGGCCACACGGGCGGCTTGGGGGCATCCAGGAGCGCAAAGGCAGTCCTGGCCTCAGGCTTGCGGTCCGAAAGTGCCAGGCCAAGCCAGGTCTGTCTGCTGGGGCGGGGGAACAGCCCGGCTGCCCTCCTTCCTCGCATGCAAGGTAGCACCTCATGGTGCCGTCCTCTGAACAGATTCCTTTCTTTCATTTTGATACCGGCACTTTCTCCTAGCTCACCGTTTAAGTAAGTGCAAACAGGATCCGGGCCGAGCATTCACAGCACAGGCTGAGGCATGCGGCGGAAGCAAGCCTGGCTTACTCCGGGGTCTGCAAGCGCCCAGGAGCTGCAGCAGAGGCCAGGCGCTTTCCGGAAAGAGGGTGCCTCTTAGGAAGACAGGACAACAGCGATGAGGCAGCCCTGCCTTGGGAAGGGGTTCCCGAGCGGGGGCTGATGCAGCCCGGCGTGGCCCTCAGACATTCCGGACTGAGCTAAAATCCTCACAGCAAACCCCTGCACTGGAGGGGGGAGATTTGATGCCACCAGAATGTGGGGTTTTACTCTCTGAGGGTAATCGAGGGTTGCAGAATTGCGTTTGTGTTCGGAAAGTCGATGCACACGTCCTGTTCCAAACGCAGCTCCAGTTCTGGCAAAAGGACTGCAGATTCTTGCACTTGCAGCTAAATTTGCAAATTGCATCCTTTTGGGAAAACTGGGCACTTCAAAATGCGCGTTTTTCAGAAAGGAGGCCTTTCCGTGCCCGGTCAGTGGGAAAGGCACCTGTTCAAAGAGGCGCTCACATGCCACGTTCAGGAACGAGAAGGAGGCCAAGCGAGCTCTGGGGGGGGGGGGGGCGCTTCAGCAAGGCCGCAGATCGCCTCGCCACCCCTCCCTCAGCGCGCCCCCTCCAAACGCCAGGCTCTGATGAACGTTTTGGTCTGGCAAAGCGCCTAAATATATCTTCTGGTTTTTTAATATGAAGACTGCCTTGCTGTGGCCCACTAGTAAAATGTTTGGAAAACACTTCTAAACACAGCATAACTTTCTGTTTGCAAAAAAGGGGGAGTCCCACATTTCCCCCCATTTTCAATTCCACAGCCTGAGCAGCTACAATAAACCCTTGAAATGCACCTTGCTTTGGATGCAGGGGGCAGCAACGACCGCCATGGATTTGAGATCACATTTGAGCTTGCCCGGGGATTTCCTGCTTGGCAGAATGATGCAAGATGCAGTGTTCTTAATCCAGAGGCCTTTAATCCCGAGTCACAGTCTCACAGAGCCAGTGCTTTTTTTGTCATAGAACGTACCGGAACAGAGTTCCGGCACCTTTTTTCGACAGATTTCCCAAGTTTTAAAAGTAACTTTTGAAAATTTGACGTTTGGTCCATGTGGATTTTTCTTACAAAAAAAGCACTGCACAGAACCATAGAAGAGCAGAGTCAGGAGGGGCCAGGGAGACCGCCACGCAGGTCCCGGGCTTAAGGGGTTCATCCCTGTCCTTCAGATCCCCCCGAACGACCCCACAAAGACGCCCGGCGACTGCATCCCCTTCACCCGCGCGGCTCCCGCGTGCAACGGGGGCTACGCCATCCGGAACCAGATCAACGCGCTCACGGCCTTCGTGGACGGCAGCCAGGTGTACGCCAGCGAGGTCAAGTGGGCCCAGCAGCTGCGGAATCTCAGCAGCGATCTGGGGCTGCTGGCCATCAACCAGAGGTTCACCGACCGAGGGCTCGCCTACCTCCCCTTCGGCAGCCCGGAAGGCTTCCCGAATAACTGCAACCTAACCAATCCGGCGCTGAACATTCCCTGCTTCCTTGCGGGTACATCACGGGAGCCCGAGGTTGCCTGCGCTCCGCGGGCTGCGTGTGTCATCGGCGGGACCGTCCCGCAAGGGCAGCCCGACTTGCCGAAAGAGAGCGGAGGGGAAGGGAAGCTTGGGGCAGAAGGGGCCAAAATATCGAGTCGAATCGGCCCCAGCCTGGGCACCCCCCCGAATCCACTTGCCCATGTGTCATCTGCCCACAGAATGCCGGGGGGGGGGGTGGCATTTGGCCCTCTTGTGGTGCTAAATTTCGGGGTGGAGTCACGTGGAGGGCCAGGCTGCGACTGGGGACATGCTTGTTTGAGTCTCCTTCCAGCCACGAAGCTTGCGTGAGTTTGGGCGCGTCACGGCCTCCCAGCCTGGCCTACCTCACAGGGTTGTTGTGAGGATCAAACGGGAGGGGGCAGGACTGGGCAGGCCACCCTGGGCTCCTCTTGAGGGAGGAGAAGGGGTGGGGGGGCAATGCAGGCGAAGCCTTTTCTGTGGCTTCGGGTGGGCTGTGACCCCCTCTCTCCGCCTGGGCTTTCGCAGGGGACAACCGGGCCAATGAAATGCCGGGGCTGATGGCCCTGCAGACGCTCTTCCTGCGGGAGCACAACCGCCTGGCCACGGAGCTGAAGAGGCTGAATCCACAGATGAACGGCGACACCCTCTACGAGGAGGCGCGGAAGATTGTGGGCGCCATGATGCAGGTGCGGGGCGGGCACGGCTGGAGGCGGGGGGCCTCGGGGGGGGGCGGGCTTCAGCCGGACTGGCATGGAGGGGGCAGCCCATCCTGCATTCGGGGCAGGCTGTGCCCTTCGCCCTGAAGTGGGGGGAGGGGCGGGAGTGGGGCTGGGGGGGGCGGACCTTTTGAAGCGTGGGAGTCCATCTGGTTTTCGGGAAGGTTTTCAGGGGGAGCGGTGCCGGACCCGGTCCTTGGCCCCGTAAGTTCCCCTGGAGGGGCTCCATCACTCACGCCATCTTGCTGCCCATGCGAGAGGCCCCTGAGGGACCCCGGGAAGCCCCCAGGTGGGTTCAAGCCTTGCCATGAGCGGAGGCTTCTCCTTCCAGCTTCGGCAGAAGGCTCTTCGGAGCTAAACTGCTCTCTCCTTTGGAGTCTCCACGGAAGAGCCACGGGGGTCTCGGGGGGAGGGGGCCGGCTCATGGCGCAGCCACTGTGGAGTCGGCGGAGTCCCACACCGGAGGCTTCCAGGCCCTCTCTCGAGTCGGGGAGGAGGAACGCTCTGTCCAGGGCGGCCGACAGGTGAAAACAGGAAGCCCGCAGCGGCTTCGCAAACAGCTCCCGTGCGCAGCATGGACCAGGGTGGTGACCCCTGCTGGGCCCAGGGCCGTCTTGGCCGGGGCACCTGCTGAGAACCGGCATCCGCCAGGGTCCCCCGACAGAGACCCCTGGGGCACTCACCTGCACCCCTCGGTGGCCCGGCTGTTCCCTGCCTCTCCCGCTGGCCCAGACGAAGGGGGTCTGAGGGGGGGTGCAGCGGAGACAAGGAGAGGCACTGGCCGAGGGGCAGGAGGCGTCCGGAGGGTCTTGGCCAACGGCCCCCAGGCTGCTTCTGGCCTCCGTCCATAAGCCTGGCTGTGCGCCCCCCGCAGCGGTGCAGTGCGGCCGATTGAGGCTGGGACTGTTCTGGGGCTGGGGTCAGCGCCTCCAAGCAGTCCGCGGGGGCCCCACAGTGCCGCACCCCTCTTGCGCCCGTGCTGTTCCCTGTTTTTGCACTGCTTCCACATTTCTGACATGTAGGGGCGCCCCCTCCCACCCCCGCTGGCCAGTCGCAGGCTCTTTAGAAAGGGAGGCTCAGATGAGCCTCCTCTCCCCCATGTTCCCCAGCAGCCGCTGACACTGGAGGTAACGTGGGCCCATCAGTAAGCCCGTGCCCCTCCGCCGAGTCTGCCACTCCTCCCCCAAAGCCCTCCGGTCAGGCAGCCACGCCGCTCCTGGCCAGGAATTCCCCAGCTCCTGGCACACGTGGCGCCTCCGTGACGCCAGGAGGAAAACTGCTGTTGCCCAAGAGCCACGTTAACTAAGGAATGCGGCCCAGTGCGTTGCAGGAAAGCGCCACGCCGTTGACGTCCCTAAAACCCTGGGTCCCCACTCACCTTCTCCTTCTGCTCCAGAAATTTACCTACACAGAGTACCTGCCCTTACTTCTGGGCAATTCATTCTCTCGTTTTGGGGCTAGAGCCCCAAATCGCTACCGCGGCTACAACGAGTCCGTGGACCCCCGGATCTCCAGCGCCTTCACCAACGCCTTCCGGTTCGGGCATGCCACGGTTCGGCCTGCCGTCTTTCGCCTGGACACTCGCTACCAGGTGCAAAGCGAGACGCCGCTAGAGAAGGAATTCTTCGCCACGTGGAGGCTCATCCAGGAAGGTGAGTCCCCGCCGGGGGGAGGGCGGGGCGCCCCCGGAGGCCCTTCCTCGCCGGAAGGCTTGCAACCGGTGCCACCTCTTGGGAGGCACGCCCGTGCCGTGCCGCTCTTCCAGAAAGAGTCCAGTTCTCATGTCTCTTAGTGCAAGAATGTAAAGGCGTTTATTATGGGTTGTATGCTGGTCCTGGGCCCCAGACGCCCAGAAATTCAGAGCGGGCCATGCCAGTGGCTACCATCTTGCCTTCTCTGGCTGTTTGCTTGCATTTCTGGAACAGCAAAAGCAGCTTACAAAATTTAGAAAACATCACAAGCAAGTGAAGCCTTAAAAGCCATCACAATGTTTAAAAATCTGATTCAAAGGTGCATCGGAGAGCTGTCCTTAATCCTGCAGGAAGAGCGCTTCAAAGGGTGGGACCCATGCAGGAGAAAGGCCTTTCCCGAGCAGGGGGTTGCGCTCGCTCTCAGAAAGCGAGACGGTCCGAAGGCCCCTCGGATGGCCGTTGCTCAGGGGTGCTTCAAGCCAGTGTGGAAGAGAAGGCGCCCAGGCACTTCTTCCCTTTTAACGGGAGGAGGGGGAGGCCTCAGTCCAGGGCGTTGACTGCAGCCCTGGCGGCGCGCCGGATGCGTGCGGGAGCCTTTGCTCGGGAACCTCTGTCCCTGCCCAGGTCCTCTTGCCAATTCAGGGCCTGTCCCTTAGTAGGGTCCAGACACCATCGGGAACTCCAGATCACACACCGCTTGGCCTGCAGATGAGCCAGAGGCTCACACGTCCCGAGGGCCCTGCTGAGATGCGACAGGACCACATCCCACGGGTTTTCAAGCTTCGACCTGCAGCAATAAGGACCAGCAGCTTTTTAAAAAGGCAGCTGGTTCTGGAACCCTAGAGAGCGAAGGAACCCAGGAGGGCAGCTCATCCGACCACTGCCTGGGACAGACTCTGCCTCACAGGGTGCAGGCCTCGATCCAGGCCATGTTGCTGCCTCCTCTCTCAGTGGGGTTCCTCATCCGCTCCAGCTTTTCTTCCCAGTGTTAAAGGTGGTGAGCTCCAGTGCCAGCGGGGCCCCGCGGGCAGCTCCTACACTGCTGCCAAGATCAGCTGCCACGGCTGCGGGCCTGACCAGGGGCCACCCGTCTTCCTGACAGCTGGCCGGCCGTCTCTGCGCCTGCGCCTGCAGCAAAGGCGACCCCACCAGGTCTCGCCGCCGGGGTCTCTGTGGGTGCTCGGCCTGTTTGCAGCTCGCCGTTTGCCTTCCAGGAGGCATCGACCCGATCCTGCGGGGCATGATGGCCAAGCCGGCCAAGCTGCAGAGGCAGGACCAGATGGTGGTGGAGGCCATCCGGGACCGGCTCTTCGAGCAGGTCGCGCGGATCGGGCTGGATTTGCCTGCCCTGAACATGCAGCGTGGCCGGGACCATGGCCTCTCAGGTAAAGGGCTGGGTGGTGCCTGCCTGCCTGCCTGCCGGGCTTTCCCCCCTCCTCACCCCTTCCGCCTTCAGCATGCCGCCTCCAATGCTCAGCCCTCGCTCTCCTGGCTGGATGCGAGCTGCTCCGGGAGGCCGGTTGGCTGAGGAGCAAGGCAGAGATGCCTCAAGGAAGCGAACCATGTGCCCCCCCTTGAACCAAACACCAGGCCAGTTTAGGAGGCTGCAGTTCTTGCATAAACGTTTCCATTGTTCTTCTCAAAAGCAGCCTTTGCCATGATGCATTGTGGGGGGGGTAGGGAATCCTCCGGACCAGTCGGTTTCTCTCGGCCCGCAGACGCACTGCCTCCCGCAGAGCATTCACTCCCTTTCGAGGCCTACCGTGGCCACAATAAACGTGTTCCTGAAAGGGTGCCAGGGCCCCGTGGCCAGGCGTGTCAGAGGAAGCAGCAACGGGCTTGGAGTGCTGTCAGCTCGATCTGCAATGCTGCAACAGGCCAGCCTTCCCCAAGTGGCACATATGCTGCAGACCGGCAGGCCGCATTTTTTAATTTCCATAATTACATGCACATTAAGCTGTAGAAAAATATGATTAAAAATTAATAGAAATGTAAATCCTTCCCATGGACTAAAGCAAGAAAACACAGAGGGGGATATGTGCATTTTTGCCAGAGTGATGAAGGCGTTCTGCACGCCGAAGGGGCAGGAGGGCAGCCGAGGCTGGCAGGCAATGCCCACGGAGCCTCTGGCGGGGCTATTGAGCTCAGCTCTCCAGGGCCCGGCGAACTTCGCCCCAGTGTCATAAAAGAGCTGGCAGAAGAACCCTCAGAACCGCCGTCTCCCATCTTGGAGAATCCACGGAAGACGGGAGAAGTGCCAGATGGCTGGAGAGGGGCTAATGTTGTCCCTGTCTACAGGAAAGGAAAACAAAAGAACTTGAGCACTACAGACCAGTTGTTCTTGTTGTTAGTGGCCAAGTCGTGTCCGACCTATCGCAACCCCATGGACAACACTCCTCCAGGCCCTCCTGTCCTCCACCACCCCCGGAATCCACCCAAGCCCACACCCACTGCCCCAGGGACCCCATCCAGCCACCTCACCCTCTGCCACCCCCTTCTCCTTTTGCCCTCAATTGTTCCCAGCATCAGGTTCTTCTCCAGGGAGTCCTTCCTTCTCATTTGGTGCCCAGAACTGGACACAGGACTCCAGGTGAGGGGGCACAGAGGAAGGCAGCAAGGATGATTCAGGGCCTGGAGGAAAAGCCCTGTGAGGAGAGATTGAGAGAACTGGGCGTGTTCGGCCCCAGGAAGAGAAGATGTAGGGGTGATATGAGACCCCTCTGCAAGTGCCTGAACGGCCGTCGCAAAGAGGAAGGCCAGGATCCCTTCTTCATTCCCGAGTGCAGGACACGGAACGGAGGACTGAAGTTAAAAGAAGCCAGACTGAGACCAGGAAGAATTTCCTGACTGTCGGAGCAGCATGACAGCAGAACCAGTTGCCTGGGGAAGCGGAGGGCTCTCCCTCGCTGGAGGCATTCAAAAAGCATCTGCACAGTCACCTGGACGGGATGGTGCAACGTGGTGTCTTGCAACAGTGGGGGATGGATCTGGTGGCCCAATGGCCCCTCCCAGCTCTACTATTCTAGGATTCTGTGAATGTACAGGGAAGCACTTATGCAAGAGCTAAATCTCCGTGAAATGCAGAGGGAACGCATTTGACCAAGGTTCCGCCCGTGGTTCTTGGCCTCAGTGCAGCAGCCCTGAAAACTGAATTTGGCCCTGAGGCTGAAGGGCATCGGATGGGCTCCCCACTCAGCGCCTCCGGATGAGCAAGCGCTGCCTGAAAGGGGAGGTGCGATGCTTCCGGGGCCACGTCTGGACCACGGCACGCCCTGCTGCTGCAAGGGAATCGCTGTGGCAAAGAAGTCAGCAGGGCCTGAGCGCTGCTCCACGAAACTGCAAGCTGAGAAGGGCAAGCCCTGCCCTCGTTGTGAGCCACTTGCCGCCGGGGACCGAAAGCAGAAAAGCCGCAGACCCCTGCCCAAGCCTTCTGACCCCTCAGCCGCGGTTGTTGCGCCAGGTGCCTTTCCAGCCCCCGCAAGGAGTCTGCTGGGGCCTCCTGGACCAAGAAGTATGGATGCCTTCAACCCGCTTGCCTTTCCTCTCGTTTGACAGGTTATAACGCCTGGAGACAATTTGCTGGCCTCTCTCAGCCTCGCACCACTGAGCAACTTGCCCAAGTCCTGAACAACGCTGACCTGGCCAAGAAGTTTATCGAATTGTATGGGACACCAAAGAACATCGACCTCTGGATTGCGGGGGTGGCTGAGCCCTTCGTTCCCAATGGGCGGGTTGGCCCCCTCCTGGCCTCCATCATTGGCATTCAATTCCAGAAGCTCCGGGATGGAGACAGGTGGGTGAGCGCAGGCGCCGGGGCCTCCTAGGCCACTCCACCACCCCAGGCTCCACTGGCACTGCCTTCCGGCTGCGCCACATCATGCCACCAAATTTCAACAGCAGGGATGTCAAAAATGGATGCTTGTTGCGGAATGTTGGAGGCCTATGAAGTCCAACGTTCATTTTAAAGCAAAGATTTAAATTCGCTGGCAAAGCTCCAGTGGCTTTGCCACAGTCATCCAGCAGGAAATGATGTCCCAACCGGGGTGGGAGGGGGGATTTAAGACCAGCGCTCTGCATGTGGGCCAGGACATGCACGTCGCCCGCCCTGACCCGACGCTTCATCTTGACCGGCCTGTGGCTTCGGGTGCTGACTTCCACGTCCGTTCCTTGTAAACCAGTCCCCACAGGTCCCTGCAGGCGCTCCCGGCACTGGATGGCGGCCAGGCAAAGCCAAGCCCAAACCTTTTACTGCACGCTTCCGAATGCACTTTTGTGATCTGAACCTTTTGCCCGCGTGTCTCCTGCCGGCGCTTCTCTGAAGCCCTCGCGGCCTTTCCCAGAGGAGACCGTTTCTCCTCCACTGTGTCACCATCTCGGGAGGGATTGCACTGTGAGGGTGCTCTCCCCTGTGGCGTGGCCGCTTGGACGGCTCAGCCACCCTCGCGGGGGCATCCAAATCCAGCCACAAGGCGTGTTTGGAGGGGAAGGAGCATCAGCCCTCCGATAGCCCAGCAACAGCCCACGGCTGCCCCCTCACAGAAGCCACGCCGCCTGCGCTTGGACGGCTCTGCAGGCTGGGCCGGTGACGGTCACCAGAGGGATTCAGGCAGGGAGTGAGTCGCCACGGCGGGCTCATCCTGCTGGGACCGTGTCCTCTGCACTGAGCTCCAGCGCGTCCAATGCACCAGGGCAGCACTGGCATCCTGCAGGAAGCGCCCAGCGGTCCTGGGGGGCAGAGGTGGCCCTCCCCTGCCCTCCCCTGCCCTCACCCTCCCGCCTCCCTCCCAGGTTCTGGTGGGAGAACCCCGAGGTCTTCACTGCAGCGCAGCGCCAGGCGCTCACCCAGGCCACCTTGTCCCGCGTCATCTGCGACAACACCTACATCCGAGAAGTGCCGCGCTTCATCTTCCGGGCCAACCAGTACCCACGCAACTTCGTCAGCTGCAACGCCATCCCAAGGCTCAGCCTCTTCCCCTGGAAGAAGCCATGTGAGTCCAGCCGCTTTGCGCCTCTGAGCCGTGCCCAGACACACGCGCATCAGTGGGGCTTAGCCCCCTTACTGGACGCCTCCCACGGATGCGGGGCCTGCCCCTTTGTGCCCCCCCGGCTCGAGAGGAGGCACGGTCTGCAGGCTTCACGGGGCCTCCAAGGCCGTCCAAGGGACCGGGAACAAGCCCCGGCGGACGGCGCCTTCTTCTGACCCCAGTGCTTTCTTCCATCCACAGGAGGCCGATGCTCCCGCTGGTGGCGCCCCTGCCGGCCGAAGACCTGCCTTCCTCTGACTGCAGCTCCGTGCTCCGTGCATGCCATGCCTGGCCCTCTTTCATTCCGCCGCTGGCAGGAGGCAAGCAGCTCCCCGCACTCCCGCCTTGCCGCAAGCTGCCAGGTCCGAACGGCCCATGCACCCGCCCACTGCCAAAATCCCGCCTCTTCGCTTCAGGACGTTCCATAAAACGCGCCCGGAGGCCCCTACCCCCCGCACACACCTCTGCAGCCTGCAGCGCATGGGCAGGGTTTTCTGAAGCAAGGGTGATCACGTGCACCGGCCTGGATGCTCGCTGAGATACGGTCGGATGTGCGGCTGCCCGCTGCTGCTTCTCCCGGCCCAGCAGACAGTGCTGGCTAAATGCTGGCCGCTAACAGGCCTGAACAGCGGAAGCGCCGTGATTCTTCTGCAGAGCCTGGTGGCCAGGGAGCAGGATGTGTCCACCCGGACGATGGCCAGCTCTCCCCCTCGGTCCGGCATGCTTTGCAGCCCGGCTCCTTAGAGAACCCCCGGCCCTCCTGCGAATGCACCCAGCGCTAAGAATGGCCGTACCAATCCTTCCCTTCGTCAGTGTTGGGGAAATCCAAATAGATCTTTATAGAGAAAGGTTGCTTATTTGTGCCTTTGTGATAAAGGATCAACTGGCAGTGTACCTCTTGCCCAGAAAGAACCAGAATCCTCAGCTGGGCGCCTTTTCCCCTGGAGCTTTATTATTCCTCTGTCCCTGAGACTCTCCCCTTGCCTGCGGCGGCTGCTGCGCTTAGACGCAAAGTTAAGCCTGTCCGTCCTTGGCTTCCACATCAAACTGTACTGAGGCTTTTGCTCTGTTTCTCTGCCGGGCTGCAGCAAACGGCCCTGCCTAGCTCTCCTGCGCATCAGCACCACCCCCAAGCCCTGCTGTGGCGCATGTGCCTCTCTCCTTGCATAGCTATACTCTGCAATCACCGGTACTCACTGTCCCATTCGGCCACAGCCCCTCTGCAGTTTTCTCAGATTGTTCTGTTCATGAACACATGATCCGTTGGTATGAGCCCATTCTTCCCTCCTCCTCTGCCCCGTTCCCATGTCCGCAACTAGAAACCCATAACACACTCTGGGTATGTTCTGGAAACTTGTAGCTGTGCACCTCTGCTCAGAAGGGGTTTTTCCTGGATGTTTTTCCTCACCAATAAAACTGCTGAAGTTTGTAACGTGGCAGTTTCCCTGTGGGTCTGAGCACACATTCCCACGGGCTGTGAAACCGGGATTTCCTGACCTCAGAAGCACCAGACACGGCCCTGACTGGTGCTGCTCACACTCCTTGGAGTTCCCCGAGGCCGTCACCACCCTCCCTGCATCCGGCCCCATCAATACCATCTGCTAAAACACCCTGGAAATCCAGAGCTGCTTCTTTCTAATGAAGACAGTGAGTTGCATTTGGAAGGGCTTGCTCTGTGGCTGGGTTTTGATGGCTGTTTTTCCGCTTCTCAGGTGGTGCTGGTTTGCGCAATGCCCAACAGCCCTTTACATTGGATTATATTTTATAGGAACAGTGTTTTCTTCTCCATTTGAATTTTGCTTAAAGGTAAAGGTCAAGGCAAAGTTTTCCCCGTGACATTAAAGTCCAGTCATGGCTGACTCTCGGGGGCGGTGCTCATCTCCATTTCTTGGCCGAGGGAGCCAGCGCTTGTCCGCAGACAGTCTCCATGGTCACAGGGCCGGCATGACTAAACACCGAGGAGCAGGAATGCTGTTACCTGCCCACCGAAGTGGCACCTTTTTATCTACCTGCATTTGCATGCTTTCGAACTGCAAGCTGGGCAGGAGCTGGGACGGAGCAACGGGAGCTCACCCCATTGTGCAGATTCGAACCGGCGACCTTTCGATCCACCAGCCCAGCCACACAGCGGTTTAAACCACTGCGCCGCCTGAAACTCTAAAATAAAAACTTGTGTGGGCCGCTTTTTCACTCCGCCTGACTTTCAAGGATGCTGCCCCAAAGGCTCCACCTCTCCGCAAGGAGTGGCATTTCCTTGCTCTGCCTCGAGCCCCCTGGCCTGCCTCTGGCTCCCCGAGGCTGCATCACAGCGAGGCAGCTGAAGCCCAGCCAGGATCCTCCATCAACGAGGCTGAGGCCCAGCGGCCGGCAAGGCCCCCCAGGGCTGCAAAGCTCGCAGGGCGTTTCCGGTGCCCAAGCAGACCTGGTTCCTACAGAGCTCCCCTCTGCCCCCAGTGGCATTTCTGTCAAACCCCTCAGCAAGCAAGCGATCGGCAGTGGTGCCGCCTCCCCAGGGCCATCGCTCAGCCCCTCAGCTCGCCCCACAAGAGGAAGGATCGCCGAGACCGCGGGGCTGTGGCCCCGGCCAGCTTCTGTATTTCTGAGCCTTTGTGTAGATGTATCTGTTTGTACCAATGAGGTAGCAACTCCCACAACCCACATGTAAAATAAATCCGTCCCCTTCCCAGAACTGCCCCTGGGCCACGATCCCGGGCAGAACGAGCAGGTAAGAGATCAGCACAGCAGCAGGAGTGAAGCCACACCTGGTGGCACCCGGCAGCCCCTGTGAGGCCCCCCCGCCAATTCCCTTGAAGGCTCCTCCCCCGCTGGGCAGAGCGGGGGCTCCCTCACGCTCCCCGATCTCCTGCAGCAACAAGCCGTGCCTGCCGCCCGCTGGCCCATGAGGGGGCACCCAGCTTTGAGCACCTGGACACACCTGTGCAACTGGCACACCTGAAAAGCCCGGTAACCCCGAGATCCCGGCGTCCGGGTTTTAGGGCCTTGGAGCAGCAGCAGCGATGGATGCGGATGGAAATGCACTCATGTGACTGCAGTCCATACCTGCCTAGATCAAGACACACCGCCAGGTATGCGGCTGGGAGAAATCAGCAGTGCAACTCCAGAACACGCGCAGCCCGGCGCTTTGGCTCGTTCGCAAGGGAAACCAAGATGCCTGGCAGCAGAGGGGCAGGGCCCATGCCGCCCCCCAGAAGTGCCCGGGTTTAGGGTTTAGTCTCAGAGGGGCTGCTGAGGACTGAATTCCAGGTGGCATAGGACACAGGCAAAAATGTCAGTATTTTCGACCTGAAGCTCTTGCCGTCAGCTCCTTTGAAAAAGAACTGCAGCTGCTTGCAGTGCAGAAAACGCTGCGCAAAGCTAGGAAACTGCCCAGTGGTTGGTGGCTGCGGGGACCGAGTGGGCGGGCAGCGTGGGTGGGAGCGGGGCCATTTAGGGCAGTCCAGATGCTGCCTGAGCTGGCCAGGCTGTCCGTGGGCTCAGTGTCCCCCGGATGTGTGGCACCAGGCCTCCGTCATCTCGGGACAGCATGTAAGCCTTCTTCCAAAGCTTCCCTGCTGCAACGGAGCCAAGCTCAGGGAGCCAAGGTCCGATCTGGATGCCAGGAAGCGCTTCCTGACAGTCGGGACCCCGAGGGTGTGGAATGGGCTTCCCCGGGAGGTCGCTGAGGCCCCATTGGTGCGGGTGTTCAAGGACAGGCTGGACGTGCACGTGGTGGGCATGTCGTGAGCGGAGCCGGCTGGTGCCGGAGGTCAGACTAGGTGGCCCGGGAGACCCCTTTCTGACTCTCTGTGTTTCTAAGTTCTGCCGAGACCCGTGCCACTGGCCCGGTGGCGCTCTCCTTGGGAAATGGGGTGGAAGGCAAAGAGACCCGTTGCCCAGTTCACATCCTTCCTTCATGCCTAGATTTTAATTCTGCAGACAAATGAAACGGACTCAGAGCCAACTGGGAGCCACAGCCTTGCGCGCAGCAGCCGCTTGTCTCTGTCCCGGACACAAGGGGCGCTGCACCATCATCGCCCGGGGACCCAAGAGGAAGGGGCCGCACAGGTGCTTCAAAGAGCTCAGCGCCCTCACGGAAGGACTGGCTGGGCGAATCCTTCCTGAGTTCGGGCTCAGATTCAGCCTCGGAGGCTCACTGCAAAGCCGGAGAGTGCCAAGGATCCCTGCAGCACCGACGCCCCGTGATTTCACTGCTCTTCTTTCCAAGCGGACAAGTCAAGTCTTTGGATCTCACGGCAGTTCACGAAGTCCTGGGGATAGCGGTTCACCCGGAAGCTGTCCCGGGGCACCTCGGTGATGTGCGTGTTGTCGCAAATGACGCGTGAAAGGGAGTCGCTGCTCAGGGCGTGGCGCTGCTGCGGGGTGAACACCCCGGGGTTCTCCCACCAGAACCTGCCGAGAAAGAGACCCGGGATGGACAGAGCCAGGCGACACTCCCCTGGCACCGCCGCCTGGGACTGCAGCCCCGCCGTGAACCCGGCACAGGCCTCTCGGCCCGAGGGCCAAACTCCAGTTCAGGGGAGCTGCTGGCGCCACGTTCCTGTGCTGGGCTGAGGCAGAGGCAGAGGCAGAGGCAGGGGCAGCCCTGGGGGGCCCGCTCTGCCTCAGAGGCTTTCTGGTGATGCCAGCTCCTCTAAAGAGCCTGGCTGGACCAGGGCCCCTTTGGGGTGGGGCCGTGCCCTCCACAGAAGCCGGACAGGTGCCCCGCACTATGGGGCTCACCTGGCAGAGGTGGCATCACTCCCCAGGCACTGGGCTGGCCTCCTGGAAGGAGCAGGCGCCAGGGCAGCGGAGCCTCGGAAGGGTGCTCACCTGTCTCCATCCCGGACTTTGCGAAACTGCAGCCCGATGAGGCACGCCAGGAGGGGGCCGACCCGCCCCTGGGGGACAAAGGGTTCAGCCATCGCCCCAATCCAGAGGTCAATGTTGCTCGGGGTCCCATAAAGCTCAATCAGCTTCTTTGCCAGGGCGGTGTTCTGCAGGACGGTGGCAAGTTCGGCCTCGTCGGCTGGCTGAGAAAGGCCACAGAAGCGCCTCCAGGCGTTGTACGCTAGCCGGGGACAAGAGAGCGCTTAGCACCACTCTGGGCACTGGCCCCGGGGAGGAAGAAGCGGCGGCAAGCAGGAAGGGCCGCTGGGGTGCTTTCCTGGGACAAGGGCAGGGCTGGGACGGCTCCCTGGGCCCGACAGAGCAGGGCAGGCACTGCGGCTTCTGCGTACGACACCTTCACTCTCCCTGCCTGATCTGCCAGCTGAGCGTGTTCTTAGCAGCTGGAAAAGAGGTCCCCAGAGCAGGGCCCTCCAGGGGTGCCAGGCTTCAGCTCCCATCGTCCCCAGCTGGACTCTGCTGTCTAACACATCTGAAGGGTACCACACTGGGCAAGGCTGGTCTAGAATTTCTTCGGGTTCCACTATGCAAGGGAGCCAAAGCCAAGAACGACATGCAGATATGAAGAGGAATAAAACAGGAAAATTAGATAGCAGGTGGGTGGATGGATGATAAAAAGAAACACAGAAACTGAGCGAGCCAGGAGGGGCCACCAGGGCCATCCAGTCTGACCCCTGGCTCCAGCCGGCTCCACTCTCAACATGCCTACCATGTGCATGTCCGATGGGGCCTCAGCCACCTCCCATGGAAGCCCATTCCGCACCCTCGGGGTCCTGACTGTCAGGAAGTGCTTCCTGGCATCTAAATGGGACCTTGGCTCCCTGAGCTTTGCTTCATTGGAGCGCATCCTGCCCTCCTCTGCAGGGGGTTCAGGTCTCTCTACCCACCTCCGTGTGACAGCCCCTCCTATACCTGTGTGTCACCAAAATATCCCCTCTGAGTCTCCTCCAGGCTGAAGAGACCCAGTTCCCTCAGTCTCGCCTCATACGGCATCCCCTGCAAACCGGCCACCGACCTTGTGGCCCTTCGCTGCACTGACTCCAACCTGGCTATATCCTTCCTGTAACGAGGGGCCCAAAACTGAGCACAATACTCCAGTTGCGGGCGCACCAGAGTCGTATAGAGTGGCAGTAACACCTCTCTTGATCTGGAAGCCACACTTCTGGCTATGCAACCAAGGGTGGCGTTTGCCCTCTTGGCCGCCGCATCACATGGCTGGCTCTTGTTTAGCCTGCAGTCAACCAGCACCCCGAGGTCCCTTTCAAAAGTGCTGCTCTCCAGCCACTTGTCCCCTAACCTGCACTTATGACACCCATTCCTATGCCCCAAGTGCAAGACCTTGCACTTATCCACGTTGCATGCCATCCTGTTGTCTCCTGCCCACTTCCATAGTCTGTCCAGATCCTTTTGGATCTGGAGTACCTGCTCCTCAGTGTGGCCACTGCCCCAGTTTTAGTATTGTCTGCGAATCTGATCAGCAGACTGTTCACCCCTTCTTCCATGGCATTGATGAAAAGATTAAGCAGGATCGGTCCCAGGACAGAGCCCTGGGGGACCCCGCTTGTCACTGGCCGCCATCCTGATGATTCCCCACTAATGGTTACCCTGTGCTTTCGGTCAGTCAACCATTCCCTAATCCACCGGACAGTGCTTTGGTGTATCCCAAAACTCCTCAGTTTCTCCACCAGGATATCATGGGGCACTTTGTCAAAGGCCTTGCTGAAATCCAGGTAAGCCACATCCACTGCATCCCCTCCATCCAGCCATCTCGAAACCTTGCCATAGAATCCCCCAAGGTTCGTCTGGCAGGACCTGCTTTTGCAGAAGCCGTGTTGTGTGGCTGCCAGCCTCCCTTCCCTATCCAGCATCACTAGATCTCTCGCTATTATGAGCCTTTCCATTGTTTTTCCTACAATAACGTAAGGCTAACCGGTCTGTAATACCCCATGTCTGCTCTAATACCCTTTTTGAAAACAAAGAAGTCAAAGAAGGAAATGGAAGACAGAGAGAAGATGGGTGGAAGATAAAAAGAACAAGGTTAGAAAGAGAGCCTCCCAAAATGGGGAGCTGACATCTTCCCTCGGTGCAGGAAAGATGGAGGCCGGGAAGCATCGCCATGTCAGCGCTCCGGATGGAGAAGAGCGCATTGCTAAGGGGGAGGCAGGCGCCCCCTCCCGCAGTGCGTGTTGCGTGCCCTTTTCCAGCTTTTCCTCTGCCAGCTGGCAGCTGGGCCCTGGCAGCTGCACACCAATCAGGCAATGGGCCGCCCTGCCTGGTCGATTCCCTGCCTGTTCCCCTACTGCACTTTCTGGCTCCCTCTGAGAGCTGAAACAGGCAAGAAATGGAAGATGATCCATTTTCCCGGTGACCAAAAAACAAGGGCCAGTTACTTAGTGTTCTGTCTGAGGAATACAAGGTCAAACATATATAAAATAAACCTCTGTCAAGAACATCAGAATGTGTAAAGATACGTCTGGAGACAGATGTTTTGACATGGGAAGTGTCGGTCAAGATAACCATGTACAAAAGTCACTGAATGTTTTCTGCTGTGATATTTTTCTGTTGTTAATCATTGCAAAAATGAACATATAGATTTGCTTGCCTGCTGACTGTAGCAGCTGGTCCCAGCTGGAGACGGGCTCACTCTTTATGAGAGTAGCGACAATGAAGAATCCCTCTCTCTCCGCCCCGCACCCCTGGGCCAGCCTCCCTGTTTTTGAGGCTCTGGAAAAATGCAGTGGCGAATGAGAAGGCGCAGCTTTTGGAATGGGGAGGGGGAGCAAGACGGGTGGGCCCTGCCGGAGGGGCACTGGGATGCCTGGCAGAGCCAGCCGGCGGCTGAGGAGAGCAGGGGGACAACCCACGATAAGCCCGACGGCTTGCTGCACCCGTTTCCCGATTCCCGTCCGGGGCGAACCACTGTGCCACGTGAGACGATGAGAGAACTGCAGCATCTTCGGTCTGACCATAGAGAAATGGTGAGCTGGAGAAGCTGTTGGGGGGGGGGCGGGTTGAGCCTGCTAATAGCTCTGGGGGCTGCCTTCCCCGCACAGCTGCTTCCGTCCAGCGCGCATCTCCGTAACGGCATGGCAGGCACATCATGCGCTCTGCAGCCAAGCCCCCCCGGCTGGTGCCGGAGGTCAGACTAGATGGCCGGGAGGCCCCTTCTGACTCGCTCTGTCGCTCCTATGTTTCTCGGGGGCGGTGGGGCAGCCCCTGCCGGCGAGGGGCCTACCTGGCAGGCCGTGGTCTCTGCCCCGCTGCAGGTTCAGAGAAGAGAGGTCCAGGCCGATCTCCTCCAGCTGCTCAAAGAGGTGCTCCTGCAGCTCGACGACCATCATCTGGTCCTGCTGCATCAGCTTGGCGTGGTCGGCCAGCAGGCCCCGGATGAGCGGGTCGATGCCGCCTGGAGCAGGGGAGAGCGAGCGGAGGTCCGGAAGGGAGGTGGCCAGCATGGCCTTTCAGGGGAGCTGCCCTTCGGCCCCCGGGACCACCAGAGCCCCGGGAGCTGCCTCCCCGTGTCAGGAGGGCAGCAGATGCAGGGCGAGGGTGGCGAGAGCTGCGTGTGATGCGGCCTGCAGCTGGCCTTCCGGGGCTGCAGCTAGGGCCTTTCCTGGCCCTCCCTGGAAGTGCCGGCATGCCGCACACACACACACGCTGTGGTCCTTCCCCTCAAGATGGGGCAGATCCCGGACCGCGTGGCCCTCAGTAAAGGGCTGACAAAGAGGAGGCCCATTCGGACCTCCGGGCGGCGCACGTCAGAGGTGCAGAACCTCGTCCCACGGGCCACCAGATGTGGTCTGCCTCGTGTCCCCATCAGGCCTCCGGAGGACCCGCTCCTGCCCCCCCCCCGTTCCCCCAACCACGAATTCTTTGCTTTCCCACCATTTACGTATTTTCCTCCCATTCTGAAAATGGCCACGCCTTTCCTCTGCTCTGGCGAAGGGGCAGCTAAAATAGGCAGGTGCTCCGGGGCCCTCCCTGGAATGCAGCCCCCGAGAGCGTCTTTGGAAGAGAATTCAGCCATGGGGTGGTGGAGGCGGGACCGCCCGGTTCCTAGAGGGGGCTGGCACAGGGGCAGAGGGCTCCTAGCAGCGCAAGGCCTCCTCAGCTGTTCCAGTTTGTCTTCTCTGCAGTGGATTTTCCACTTGGAAGAAAAAAGCGTGGGAGAACTGAGAGGGAGGCAGGAGGTGGCTGTACTTGCCTGAACCCCATAAAATCTTGTGAATGAGGGTCAAGCCACAGATCCCGTTAATTGTATACCATGTGGCTGAACCACACTCGTTCATTCATCTAACCATATTTCTGCTCAGGCTTTTATCCTGCAAGGAACCCCTTATGGCCCCCTCTGCCCTCACAACAAGCCTGCACAGTAGGTTAGGCCAAGCGTCAGCCACCGGCCCAAAGTCGCCCATGAGCTTCATGGTCAAGTGGGGGCTCGAACCCGGATCTCCTGGGTCCAGGCGTCTCACCAGAGTGCTGCCCTGGGTCTCCTGCCTGCAGGAGTGCACGTGGCCCTGGCCTGGACTTCCCCTTCCAGCTGTGTGCCCCACAAAATCGCCCCTCCTGAAAGGGGAGGGGAGGGGAGGGGAGGGGAGGGGTTATTCCATGACTTTCGCTGAGGAGCATCCACGGAGACCTGAGCCAGGGTGGCACAGGGTCAGCCAGTGAGACTGGGATCTGGACGCTCCCTGGGTGGCCCTGAGCCAGTTCCTCCGTTTCAGCCTGGCCGACCTCGCAGGCTCGTTGTTGTGGGGATGGGGAAAACCTTGCGACCTCTCACGGGAGGGGAAGCGCAACAGGGGCAGAGCATGAGTGCGAGGCAGCCCGGGCTCCGCGACCCGCGCAGGAACCCCCGGCCCACCTTCCATCACCACCCTCCACGAAGCACAGAAGGTGAGGTGGAGCAGGACGTTGCCGTGCAGGCCCAGGGGCTTGTAGTGCTCGTCCAGGCGGGGCACGACGGGCGGGATGGAGCCGTGGCCGAACCGGAAGGCCAGGGAGAAGGCGTTGGAGACCGTGGGGTCCACCGAGTCGTTGTAGCCCCGGTACGGCGGCACCTGCTTGCTGAACTCGGTGCCCAGCAAAAGGGGCAGGTAGTCCCCGAAGGTGATGCCCTGCGGGGGGTGGGAACAAATACAAAAGGGTTGCTCACACAGGAAAAAGGCGCCCTTGAGAAACACAGAAACAGAGTGAGCCAGAGGGGACCTCCCAGGCCATCTAGTCTGACCCCAGCTCCAGCCAGCTCCGCTCAGGTAATCCCCAACATGGGGTTGTCCGGTCTTTATCCTTATATCATCCACTACTCTGGAATCCATCCAGGTACGGAGCGGCAACAAATAATGAATAGACTCCCCGCTCTGAGTGGGGTGGTGTAAGTGGGTGTCCCTGCAACAGCAGGGGGTGGACCTGATGACCTTCCTGGCCCCTGCCAGCTCTGCTGCTCTGCCATGCCACACTGTGTACAGCGGTCCCTCGTCTCAGTTCATGACCAAATCGGGTCGCGAACAAGCATTTCATGAAAATTTTGACTCGGGTCGCGAACTTCACGTCGGGTGGCGACTGCGACCGCGGCCATCTCCCCACCCCCCCCAGCACGATGGCTCGTGCCTCCCCCGCACCAAGCGTGCCCATCTATGGCTGCGATCGCAATCATGCTCATGTGGCGGGGGTGGGGGGGGGAGATGGCCGTTTTGTCAGTTTGCTTCAAATTTTTCTGATTAAAAAAATAGTTGCAGAACGGATTAACCTTATTTATGTTGAACATTATGGGGAAATTTAACTTGACTCACGACCAATTTGGGTCACGACCAGAGTCCTGGAACAGATTAAGTTCGTGATCCAAGGTTTATAAAGATGCAAAACCTGTATTTTAAAGGTTTCTCATCTTTACAAACCACCCAGAATGCTTTGGCAATGGGGTGGTCTAAACCATAACAAATTAAACGACCCTACATGGCTTAGGGCTGCGATGCCTGATGCTCTGCAGGTGCATGCTGGGAGCACGCTTCCTCAAGGGCCACCTCTGAGGAAGGAAACAGGGGAGAAAGCCTTCCTGGTGGCCTCCCCGCAATTCTGCAATAATCTCCTCATCGGTCGGCCTGGAGCTGATCCTTTCACCCTTTCGCCGCCTGGCTAAGGCTGACCTTTCCTTAGAGGCATCTAATGTCATCCGGGGAGGAGAACTGCTCCTCAAAAAGCTGTCGAAAGTGTTACATGTGTTCTGAACGCTGCACATTGCAATCCCTCTGCTGCTTGCATGCCTGCATGTTTGATGCTGCATGGCTGTGAATCACCCGGGATGGCTCAGCTTGCGAGGGGCCCTGAAATGCCGTGAGCACATGAAACGGCCCTGAAATGCGGGGGATGCCTGGTACCTCGATGATCGCACCGACCACCTTCCGCGCCTCCTGATAAAGCTTCTCCCCATCCCAGTGGGGGTTCAGCGCCTTCAGCTCTGTGGCCAAGCGGTTGTGCTCCCGGACAAACAAGGTGTGCAAGGCCGTCAGCCCCAGCGTCACGGTCACCCTTTTGTCCCCTGCAAAATTACGAAAATGGCACAGGGGCCTCCACCTGATTCTTGCAGTGTTCCGGCTTTTCAGAGTGGTGGGTCGCACTTCGAGGTGAACAGGAGCTTAGAAAACGGCCCTTTCTTCCATCACGGGCACCCCCAGCACACTGACCCCAAAAGCCCCGGAGGCTCATGGCACGGTCCTCCCGGCAGTGTTCCTGCTGCCGATCTGGGTTTCAGCCAAGGAGCCGTGCGGGACCCAGAGATGCTGCGGGGTTAATGGGGCCTCCTGCAGGCCAGGAAGGGCTCCGCCACAGAGCCACGGACCTTTCCCCAACAGGAGGTTCTAGACCTCCCAGTTCTGAAGGGAAGACGGCTTAATTCGGATCCGAGGAAGCTGCCTTGAAAGGGGACAGACCTGCTCTGGGGGAGCGGCTCTCCAGGGCTTCCTTCACAGGGTTCAGTCCGAAGCCTCAGGAGGCCCCAAGAGTGCGGCCAGGACAAACGGCAGGCCAGGCCAGGCCAGGCCAGGCAGCCCTCGGCCCCGAGCAACAGCCCTCGGCCTAGTGAGCTCCAGCTGGGGCCAGGCCAGCATTTCAGGCACCTTCACACTCTGGGAAGGTTCTCGCGCATTGCAGCATGAGGGCAGGGAGAGAAAAGGGCACCATGCAGGCCAGCTACCACAAGTCCCAGCATTCCCCAGCTGCTGCAAGCATTAACCCAGAATGAAATATTTCCCCATTTGTCCGGTCTGGCACAATTTCTCCTGCTGCCGTTGAGGGACAGTGCCCAGGAACTGAGCGCATGACTCCAAGGCCCACTTCCTGCATAGCCAAGGTGTGCAGCTCACGGTGGCGCTGGGGGGGGCAGGTGCACCACCGGGACTCACCTGCTTCAAAGCACGGGATGTTGGCGGTGCGGTTGGTGAGGAGGCAGTGGCTGCTCGGGTTCTTCTCGAAGGGCAGCAGCCCCAAACCGCCGTCCGTGAAGTTCTCGTTCAGCGCCATCAAGCCCAGAGGGCTGCTCTGGTTGCGCAGGCGCTGTGCCAGTGGCCTCTCGCTCCCGTACACCGTGCTTGCGTCCAGGAACGAGGTGATGGCGTTGAGCTGCTCCCGGGTGGACATCGCGGGGTTGCACACGGGGGCACTCCGGATGAACGGCATGCAGACGCCTGGCTTTGTAATCCGCGGATCTCCAGGGGGGATCTGCGGAAAACAGTCCTCGGATCCAGATGTCCCCGAGAGTGCCCGCCCATCTGAGGCCTGGCTGAGCCGGCCTGGTGAGTGCTGGCAGCAACCAGCGTACAGAGAAGCTCTGCTCCGGATACAAAGGGCCCACTTTGCCCTCGGCACCGACAGTCATGGGTCCCTGGCGGTTCCTGCAGGCTGCTGCCCAGCCACTGCAGGCCTGTCCAATGCCCCGCTCGGAGTTTGGACCAATGCGCCAACCGCCCCCGGCCGGCACCCCCAGGACGGGGCCAGCTGCTGTCCCGCACGACAGCCCAGGAGCTGGCAATGACAGGCAGGGCTGCCGCTCAGCTTCCCAGAATGAAACCTGCACCCAGGCCAGTCGTGGGTCCGTGTTCTTCAGCGCAAGCCGACGCGGGGATTGAGTCGGGGCCGGCACGGCCGAAAGGCCTCCCCGGGAACCCGCACCTGGCCCCGCGCCAGCCAGCCTGCCGCAGCCCTGCCCAGGGACGCGGCCAAGCGGGGCTACCTTGATCGGGAAGCAAGGGGGCGCGTAGTTGCAGCTGGTGTCGCAGTGCGCCTCCTTGTTGTGGGCGCTGGTTTCCGTCATGGGGGCCAGGTCCAAGTCGTGGTCCACCAGCTGGCCCCACTGCATGAAGGCGTGCGAGCGCTCCGCGTCCCTCAGGAACTTCTCGTTGGGGGTGGTGATGACCTCGTTGGAAACCTTCCGCACCTGCGGGGCAGAGCGCCTGCCGTGGACTCGCTGCCAGGGAAAGATGGCGCCCCGGGAGGCCGCGCCCCCGCCGGGGCTGCTGAGTGCTGTGGTCCGTGCAGGCGGGGGCACCAGAGTGTCACCCACTCCCGCCTTCTGCATCCCGTGCTCTCCAGATGTGGTGGGCCATGACCCCTGCCTCCGCCGCGTATTGGCCGTGCTGGTGGGCGCGGGTGGGAAGTGAAGCCCACCACATCTGGACGGCCCCAGGAGAGGAGGGCTGGAAGGGCCCAGCCAGCCAGCCGGCCCGCGCCTCCCAGATGTTCTGGGCTGCATCCCTGGCAGCTGCCCTGGTGGGGCTGGGCTGGCGGGAGCTGCCTGCCGCCCTTAGCCTTCTTCAGACCAAGTGCCCCCAGAGGTTTGGGCTACAGATCCCACCAACCCTGCCCACGCTGGCTGAGGCTCATGGGAGTTCTGGTCCAGAAACATCTGGGCTGCCCTGCTTGCCTACAGCCGCTCTGGGCTCACAGAGAGGTCGGGGGGCACCTCCCAGGGTCTGCGGCTGGTCCTGGTCCCCCCCTCCCTGGAAATGGTGGGGGGCGGATCCTGGGACCCTGCAAAGTGCGGGTTTTCTCCCGCTGAGGAACGGCCCTGACCCCACGAGGGATGCTTTCCTGTGAAGACGCGAGGCGGCCTGGCATCAGCCTGTCTGTCCCATGTTCCCCGCCTTTGGATGTTGCCAAAGCGGCCTCCCCCACCCCCCCAGGACATGCAAAGGTGCAGGAGGAGGAAATTCCAGCTCTGCCCGGAAGCGGCCCAGACCTGCGGTAGGAACACACGCCTTCCTGGCTCGAGCTGGGGTGGCCGGGAGCAGGACCCGGGGACCTGCGCAGGTGTCGCGCCCTTCGCCCCAGTCATGCAGGGAGGGTCCCCCCACACATCCCGCAGGGGCCCCCCACCCTGGCCGGGTCCTCCCCCGTCACCACTGCCCCGGCAGCTCTCCCCAGGATCCAGGCTCGCCTCCAGGCCCTTACCAGTGGGAGTGGGTGCCCATTGTACAGCTGGCCTTCGATCAGGCCCCTCGGAAGAGAGATGCCGTCCTCGTACTCCGCGGGAAGCCAGCGGGCGTAGCCGTGGTTGGATGCCCCAAAATGAGGGTTCTGCCTGGGATGGAAGGGAAGGGAAGGGAAGGGAAGGGAAGGGAAGGGAAGGGAAGGCTTGCGTAAGGGCCTCCCGAGAGCCCCGGGGCAGATCAGGCTCCTCGCATCCCCCACTCAGCGGCCCCTTGGCCACCCGTGGAGAGCCCAGGAGGACAGCCGGCGCCCCCTACCCCCACCCGTGCCCACGAAGAGCCGCCGCCGGCCGAGCGGTTGCACGGGGCCCGGCTACCTGTTGTTGCACTCCCCGGTGATGGTCCGGTAGGGGCTGTTCCCCGCACAACTCACAGGACGGTTCACGTAGTCACAGCCGGTCGCCCTGAAGAGCACCTGCTTCTGCTCGGTGCTTAGCAGATCTAAAAGGACAACTCCGTCAGAAGCAAGCGACCTCCCCGACTTTCCCAAAACAAAGGCGGCAACAGCTAGCATTTACCTTTTTTCCCCCCCATAAGAAATCAGATTTAAAGGAGGGATATATTAACCATATTTTCTGAGATTAAAGAGGAGGAGGAGACAGAAGAAGAAATTGACTGCAGATGCTCAGAAACCGTAAGGCATTTTTTCTGCCTGAACATGCGTTGACTTGCATCCTTAATTTTTGAACATAACAGAAGGCTAATCCTCAAGACTGACTGTGAATTGGCATTTTTTCAAGACCAGCTCGTACATCTTTTACTTGATTCCTTGCAGCAATACCTGTAATATTGGATACTGTTTGCCAAGGCACCTGCACTTTCTGCTTCACGAGATCCAAAGTCACCTCCAGGTAACTCGCGGCTCGGATTGCGCTCCTGGCTCCCGCTACGGGCTCCTTTAAGCGTTTCAGGAATTCGTAGGGGGAGACATTGCTCTGGTTCGAGCTTGCCTTTGCTCTGGGAAGAGAGCAGTGGGAGAAAGAGTTAGCCCAGAAAGTTTCCAAACGGTCAGAAAAGTTTGGCAAAGCTTCTGCAGCGCTGCTTGGGCTGCATGACTGAGGCATTCACCTGGCCTGCAAAATCTGCCCTGTCTCACAGCAATGCTTTGGCCTCCTCCTGAATACTGCATCCATTTCTGGGCATCAAGAAAGATGCAAACACATAGGAAAGAGTCTGAAGGAGGGCAAAGAAGATGATCCGAAGACTGGAAGCAAAGCCCTGCTAGGAAAGACTGAAGGAGCTGGGCATGTTCAGCCTGAAGAAGAAAAGATGGAGGGTGGGTAGGAAGAGCACTCCACAAGTCCTTGAAGGGTTGTCACAAAAAGAAAGCCCAGGATCTCTTCTCCATCAGCAGGACACAGAAACATAGAAACAGAGCGAGTCAGAAGGGGCCTCCCAGGCCATCTAGTCTGACCCCGGACTCCACTCACGACATGCCCACCTTGTGGACGTCCAGCCTATCCTTGAACACCCTCACCGATGGGGCCTCAACGACCTCCCGTGGAAGCCCATTCCACACCCTTGGGGTCCCGACTGTCAGGAAGTGCTTCCTGGCATCCAAATGGAACCTGGATTCCCTGAGCTTTGCTCCGTTGGAGCATGTCCTGCCTTCCTCTGCAGGGGAGAACAGGTCTCTGCCCACCTCCATGTCACACCCCCTCACATACCTGCATGTCGCCAACAGATCCCCTCTGAGTCTCCTCTTCTCCAGGCTGAAGAGACCCAGTTCCCTCAGTCTCGCCTCATACAGCTTCCCCTGCAAACCGGCCACCAACCTTGCGGCCCTTTGCTGCACTGACTCCAACCTGGCTATATCCTTCCTGTAATGAGGGACCCAAAACTGAGCACAATACTCCAGTTGTGGGCGCACCAGAGTCGTAT